GTCCTGTTCAAAGAACAACTCCGCGACACTAACTTAGCTTTTCAAAATCTTACTGATGTGATAGCAAGTAGTGAAGAAAGTTTTCGCTGTTCTAAGAAATTAATTAATTCGACCAGTTTGTTATTTTTCCGACTTAATTGTCATGCAAAGTTTTTCATGGACTTTGTTTATAAAATGTGACATCTTCTTTGACCTGGGTTATTATTATGCCAAATGCAAATTCTGTTTATAGTGTAAAAATAATTCTCTGCACAAATAGGAAAGCATAAAGCTCGTCTAGAAAGCGTGGCTTGTAGAAGCGACCCCAAAATTATTGTTTCCTTACTAGGAACTGGTCAGCTCAGACGACCAACACAAATCATACAATATTATCCAAGCTTTAATAATTATTCGATCTAAGAGAAATACATTTGTGATTCGAAATCAGGAAAACGCAAATTTAATCTTAATCACGTAGCAAAATTCAGGAAAAACATGATTGGGAACTTACTTCTGTGGCGGGTCGTAAAAACAGGTTTCTCACATCAGGTTAGCAGATTCGCCGAACAGATTATAAAAACCGACTTCTCTCTCTTACTGATTCTTCTGAAAACTAGTTTAAACCATGATAAGCTAACACTTTTAAATCATGGTACGGAATTAATGTCAATCACGAGTCGTGTAATTAAAATATATCTGTGAAAGTGTAGTGTGATCGTCCGGGTGAGTGTAGTCTTGAGAAGGACTGTTCTACGACAACCTGTTCTTATTTCAGTTCGTAGAACATTCTACTGACAACAACTATTCACTTGACTCTGATGATGACTTCCGCACAGGGTGTCGAAACGTCAGTCACTACAACCGACAACAGTCCTTCTAAGGACTACACTCATCCGGACGATCACACTACACTTTCACATGTTATCCCCGGGTTCAAGCCATTTATTGCATTATAATATATCTGCCATCAAAGGCAACGCCTATTTACTAAGCGAAACAATTATTTTCCACTATCAACCAAAAAAAATAGATTTCCCTTTCGTCAGAAGTTAAGCGAATTCGATGATTGAAACAACCTTTCTACAAAAAGGAAAACCAAAAGAATAAAACTGAGAAAGGGCTAGAGGTACTTACACAAGCCAACCTTCCTTTTCATTGGCCTAAGGGATGAATAACGATAAAACGTTGCATGAAATGTTTTTGCTTTGCCTTATGAGAAATCTGCCTCGAATACCAAACGTTTAGCAATATCTTTCATTACAGATGCCTCAGCTAATGCTAGCACAACGTCACCAACAAACCAAACTGGTACGCATTTAAAAGTAATCATTTTAAACTCTGACGGGCTAAAAACATTGCCTTCACCCCCCATTTTTCTTTTTTTGACTACAAATAAATACTTCCTTTCAAGATAATTTTGGGAGACGCAGTGGCCTAACAATGGACTAGCATCTCATCTATGGGAGGAGTATTGACACTGTTAGTCGCTTCATGCTACAGGGAAACCGGGATAAACTCCAGGCTGAGGATGATGGGGGGGGGGGGGCGCAATAGGCTCGAGTACAGACTTAAGCCATAGGAATAATTCCTCAGAAATAAACTTGTCCAACAATTTTTTTTAAACATATCTTAAAGTGTTCGCACCAATCTCTGTCTCGAGATCTTCAGTAGGAAAAGATAGGTCACCCTACTTACTAAAATGGATGAGATTGCCAATCTTATTCCATTTATGCTTGTACTGGTACTTATCATTTGCGTTATTTCATCGGTTCACGATACGTCTTACGGTAGCTGGAGGTAGAGGTTTTTAGAAAAAATAGCTCGAAAAAGCACTTGATGGGTAGAAAGRCTCTTGCGTATGGAATTAATTTGTCCAAATATCCCATTTGTACACCAAGATTATGATATGAAAGGTCACCGTGTTCATTCCAGAGAAAAAGACTATCTTACCTGTTTAACCACCTCCACTGATTATAAAAAAAACCGATACAATGTTCTCGAAATGTGCACGTGCCTATTTACCTAAATACGTGATGTGATTCCCAGATGAGAATACGTAGTGCAATACTGAGGAATCACCTTAACCCAGAGCTGTCGAGATTCAAACCATTTCAGTTACGTATGTACATACATATGTATGCAGCAATAAGCCGACAGCCTGCCTTTACTTCAGCTGAGTTTAGTCAGGGCGGACGTCATGACCTCGAACCAAATATCTTTCCGTCTGACCCTGCAGCTCAGTCGATAGGTATATATTTTATTCTCCGACCTCGGGGAATACTTAACGATTATTCCATGAGCGCACGTTGGATACTTGTGAGATGCTAAATATCCAAAGAGTCACGTAGCGCCGATTTGGCTATAACCAATCTCGTGTTCAACTAGCGTAAATGGAAAATTGCCTTGTGAAATTTTATTAAACCTTGAACGTTTCATATTTTCAGCGAGATTTTTTTCAGCTATCAACACTTGTCGCAATTCAATTCCATATTTAAGCAATAAACCACATTTTCTATCAATATACCGGCTAATAAACCATGCGGGATGTTGGGAGAACATGAGAAAAGCCTGTCAACCACTCGGCTGCGCCTCTTGGTTTACAAAATTTCTGAAAATTTCTGAAGGTCTTTCAATTTAACCGCGAAGCGAGAAATAAAGACTTAGAACAGAGTCAGCAGTTTAAATAGAAAATTTGACAACTTTCGAAAAATAAAATCTTGTTTGTTTTGGGCGTTCAAAGTGTCCTCTTCGTTTCCTTCAAACCAAAGACCTTTCACAAATCTAGGAATTTGCCCCGTGTGGCGCCATTTGACAGGATAGGAAGGGGTTGCAGTTTTCCATGGGTATAGAAGCAAATATGATGAATAGCTTTTATCCAATCACGCCTTGTGTCTAAGTTATGCTTTAAAGTCTCATGACCGGAGTTGAATGAACCAATCAGAACACTCGGAATGCAAAATCCGGAGTTGAAATTTTAATAATTCCTGTTACTGTTGTTCATACTGAAACTGTTTCAGATGGAGCTATCAAAGATCTGTTAGACAATTTGCAAGAGATCAAAGTAAGGCTTTGGGTGAGTATGCCGCTCACGCACGAGGCGTGGCGTTTGACCTAACTTAGCCGTAAGTGCAGTGAACATCTTGCATTATTTCGATCATTACTTCAGTCGCATTTAACCCGTACAAATCTGTGCTCACTTTTGAAAGACTGACGCCATTTTCGAGGAGAACAATTATCATGCTTAAATCAACTTTAGTGGTCAAACAGTAAATTGAAAGCATCAGGAAATTCAAGTTTTAATAGGTATATATATTTAGTCTTCTGATCTAAAATTAGACTTGGTATTTTCATTCCCAGAGAGATAAACGTGTCAACAATTCTGCCATTCTCGAAGTTATCACCAAACATCAGGATCTTGTATCCACTGAACTGTTACGTGAGAGCAACAAGAAATTATGTCTTGATACTTTTGAAGAGTACTCTGCCATCATGTTCTACATAGTTACCGAGGATCCAGAATTCGTGAAGGTAAGAATAAATACTAGGAAAATCGAAAAGAAAAGCGAGTCATTTATTTTGAACAAAGTTAAGAACGTGTCCACGAGAGCACCAGGCAGTCGTGACACATGCCATCTCACAGTTCAAAGGATCTACCCCAAAACTCAAAATGACAAATTGGTTTCTGTTTTGGTTATTTCCGGGGGGAGATAGGCCACCCCCGATTTTTTCAGGTTTTCACTAACAAATCGCCTCAAAATAGGTAAAATGTAAGAAGCTCTTACTGTAATTGTATTTAACAAATTACTCTGACGGTTTCCATACCTATTGTTATATCCCTCATAACTGTACGATGTAAGTTTCAATCGATTTGATTGACAGCTTGTCAATCAACAGATGGGAATAAATTAGCGTGTTCCCAAACTTTTCGATTCACTCAAATATTTGATAACTTTGAGGTAAAATATCTCCCTTTACCAGAAAGCCACAACACTTTGAATGCCTCTTTCTAGTTCATCCCTTCATTTCTGAAAGTCATTAACAAAATTTTTGGGCACTGCCATATTTTCATCGTGAATGCCTTTTGAAATCTACCACTGTGACAGCTTCTCTCAACTGCACTTGTCACGCAATTCTACTTTAGGAGAGTAAACCATCATTTTATAGCTCGTTAAAACAAGATAATTAATCGAGGAAGCTAAGAAATGTAAATAAGTTTCAAGTTTCATGCTAGAAATTGAAAATTTCACGTTTAAGAGAAGCATGTGGGCGAAATATTGATAGGAGAATCGTACCGTTTCTCCCTTCTTTCGTTTATTTTGGAGATTTGCTGAAATAAGCAAGCATGGCACATTCATTAGTCTTTGATTTGATTGTTTATTATCACAGTTTACAATAAAGAGATTGTAACAGGAGAGATTTTAAAGTCACACGCCGCGTGCTTGTTGACATACAAGTTCTTAAGTACAACAACTTCGGCTTTTACGTACAGTGGATGACGAGAAACTCTGCTCTTCCGCTTGAAAGGAGATATCAATAGCTCTATCAAATTCATAAATTGCGTTATTTCTCCAGAAAATTAGAGTGGGAAGTGCTGTTGTTTCCACATACCACCATAAAGAAATTCCGTGCAAAAATGGTATTTATAGCGCGACCCCGTGACCTTTCATCAAGCCTTTTTCCAATGTAACGCCACCAGAATGTTCTAAAACCATTATCATTACAACTGCCTGGTTTCTGCCAGCAAATTTCATCTGCATCTGCCATTATTTTCCCTAAATGTTATGGCCTTTCCTGCGTGAATGTGCAAGCGTGATGTTACATGGCACTCTTGGGGCTTCGTTGCACTGTGTCGGGATTAGGTGTATACTGGTCTCGTTTAAACATTTCTGTATGCTGCAAATGGGCCAACAACATACATTTCCGCTGTTTTTTTCTTTTATATCACCATAATTCAACCAATTTTTGTTTGGCCGGAAACTTTTGTGAAGGATAAACTAGTGACGTTACATGTACGAGTAAGTGATGTGTTTGAGGGTTATAGATGTTATCGTGACCCCAAACACATCCATGCTCGTGTATGTAACGTAACGTCCAAAAAACGTCACGCAGGTACAACACCTTAGGCACACCTTGCTTCGTTGCGGATACCTTCCGATTGCTTCACCAAGTTTGTGAGCCCCAAACATATCATGTACTCATGCATGTAACGTCCAAAAAATGTCACTGATGCACAACATCTAGGTACACCTTAACGCTTGCTTCACAATAAGCGTAAAGGTCGAAAATAGACATTTAAATAAGTAAGATTTACCATACTTGTTAAAACTCCTTGATGAAGTTTATTATTGTCAGGCGAAACGCTTAAGAGATAAAATCAAGTATGCTCGCCAATTTGACATTCAAAAAATAGGTTTCGATTAAAAAAACAAACAAAAAAAAAAAATACAAAAAAAAACGAAAAAAAAAAAAACAAGACAAAACAAAGTAAAACTGTTATCTTGCTCCTAAGCCTGGTGGAGTCAAGGGCTTCTATGCAGCAGTGTGTCAAGTTCAGCCATTCGCACAAACAGTGACCCAACATATCATGATCGGCGTACAGGCATTGAATAACTTCTCACATGAGAATAGAGGCTTGAGAGTGTGGCGTGATCATGATATTGGAGGTGGAATGTTTTATAGCGCAGACCAGCTGGGACGGTTTGGAACACCCCAAGGCTCCACTAGGCTCGTCACAATGGAAACCTTCAGCAGCCCGACCCTAGATGGTAGTTATCTGCAACGTGCGTAGATGTCTGAACCTGGGCCATCGCGAGAACTACCCAATCCGTCACAGGCAGAAGAAGAAAGCAAGATATTTTCTTGTCAAGAGGAAGGGTGTTTCAGTCGTTCGCTGCCCTCCAAAAGTACCTTGACATCGGCAAACGCTTGGTGAAGCTGGCGAAAGAATCCGCCTACGACGAGATCAAGAGGAAATGGATGGAAGCTATCCATTCCGTAGGTGGTGGCTACGTTCATGGTCAGACCTCACCCAAAGATCCTGTGAACAATCCCAAATGAACCTCGGATGGGCCATTCGGAAAACACGGAAAGTAGTTGCCTTCTCTTAGAAAGTAAATAGTTATCTCGTAGACGTGTTCTGGACAGGGGAGGAAACTGGTGAGAAGGCATCTACTTCTGATGTGGCTTCCCAAGGAAGAGTTTCAGAGACGACACTAGCCTGAAAATGAACTCCAAGACTGACTGGTGGACAGAGCAGCAGATCGCTCGATACTTCAGCCGACTATCTGCCCTCACTGTTTTACCACAGAGGTCCCCCGCTGTTGGCATGAGTGAGGACGAAGAGGCTGATGCAGATGATCTAGCCTCAAAAGTCGAAACTGACCGAACAAGGAAAAAGATAAGGAAGGACCTTGAACTTTAGATTATTCATTTGTCCTTTTTCAGTCGCCAGCTGCCGGAGGTAGATTTTTTATTAATTACGCATTATAATTCGCTGTTTAATTTGCAAGCAAAAAGAGCTCTGCCAATCGTGAGAATTTATAGCTATCTTTCAGTTTACAGTCAGCCCCATTCAGACTCTCCAGAAGTCCATATCTGATTCAAATTTCGTAACTTTTTAGCACATGTGAGGTGGCAAAATTTAGACGAAGGCCGCAGGCCGGCTAGGGTAGGGCAGCTACCACTGATTAGGTTACTAAAAATAAAGACCTTTGCTACTCGCTTTTCGTTCAAATCTATTGTCATACTTCCGAAAAAAACTGGATATCTTTCGGATTTTTTTCATCATTACCTAACTTGCATAAAAACTTGCATGGCACCTACTGATCAAAATTTTGCAAGCTCATTCTATAAGTCACGCAATTTAAGATCGAGCTCGAGAGAGATGCTTATTTTATTCATGTAGTTGCAGCATTTTTTTAAAAAATGGAGATTTTTTTTGATCAATAAGCAAGCGAATAGCAAGGAGATCTGCAGAATTTTCTGAAGTGTTCTTCAGCAGACAGCGTGAACAACGCGCTGCGAAACGTTTCTAAGTCACGCCACATATATTTAGTTCGGCCAAGTTCTGCATGGAAATGTTTGTAAATGTTTCCTTTCAAGTTAGAATTTGCACTCGATTGCCGGGTTGATACACGCGCATACGATTAGCACCAAACCAATATAGGATCTTTTCTTTCTTTATTCCTTTCCATTCTTCGAGGTGTTCTTACATCGAAGTGGTCAACTGAAATCATTACGTGAAGAAATTACCTAAATCTTATGCCATCTAGCTTAAGAATAATATCGATGTGGGCAACGAGCACGTGGAAATTAAAAGAAACAAGAAAAGAAAAAAACTAACGATAGGTTTCGCTTTGAATCACCACTACGAGTTAACATAATCACAAAATAAATTGTTGCTTACCAACGTTCGCGGGTCTTGACTACTTTATCGAGGATTACGGTCTAACTTGTCTTCTAGTTTAGAAACGGTCTTGATTACACGAGGTCTTATCCTGAACTGAAACGCTAGCTATAATTTTCTGTCTGAAATGAACTAATCACGGAGGCATTCATCAAACCAGAAAGTATTTCGCAACATTTTGTGGCAACATCTAGCTTTCACGGAAGTGGTAAGTGACAACGATAACACCATCCTAGTTTTATTTTCTGGAATAATAGCGCAGTTTATTAATTTAACAGAGCTACTGGTTTTTCCTTCCAAGCGAGAGGTCAGAGCTCGTCTGTATTGCAACCGAAAACTTGTTCGTGAACAAGCACGCGGCCTGTGACTTTAAAATCTCCTCTCCTGTTAAAATCTCTTTATTGTAAACTGTGCTAATAAACAATCAAATTAAAGATTAATAAATGTTTTTCGCCGTAAGAAAGCCTTGTTTGCTTATGTAAGCAAATCTCCAAAATAAACGACAGAAGGGAGAAACGGTACGATTCTCCCATCAATATTTCGCCTACAGATTTCAAAAGGCATTGAAAATGAAAATATGGCAGTGCCCAAAGATTTTGTTAATGATTTTCAGAAATGAAGTGATGAACTAGAAAGAGGCATTCAAAGTGTTATAGCTTTCTGGCAAAGGGAGATATTTTACCTCAAAGTTATCAAATATTTGAGTGAATCGAAAACTTTAAGAACACACTAATCTATTCCCCTCTGTTGATTGACAAGCCGTCAATCGAATCGATTGAAACTTGCATCGTACATTTATTTAGGATGCACCAATATGTATGCAAACCGTCAGAGTAATTTCAGTTGCTTAAATACAGTTACTATTTTGAGGCGATTTTTTAGTGAAAACCTAGAAAAATCGAGGGGTGGTCTATCTCCCCCCCGGAAATATCCAAAACAGAAACCAGCTTGTCTTTTTTAGCTTTGGGGTAGATCCTTTGAACTAGCAAAGTTTCACTGAAATCAGTGAGATGGCGTGTGTCACGACTGCCTGGTGCCCTAGCGGACACATTCTTAAGCCTTTGTTTACCAAAAAAGCATCAAAACTCATTTTCAACTGAGCTAATAGTTTTTTTTTCAACAGTGGCTAGAACGTTCTTACCTTAAATGAGAAAAGTAATCAAACAATTTAGTAAGGAAATCTGGAGTGTGCAAAACCGTGTCCTAAGGTTCACTTCGCTGTGATACCTGACCATTCGCGTCTAGTGAATGACAATTCTGATTCGCTAAAATGCTCCACTTTCCTCTATTTAATGAGTATAAAACGTTTTGAAGTAAAGCGATTTGCTAGCTAATGTTAACCATTCAAGGTGAGGAAATTCATCCTATAGGATTACAGTGTGGCTTTCCGGCCACCAGATTTAAGCTTGAGCTTGGCATCGTGACGCGTTCTTTGGATAACCACTATTTTTTCACAAGTACTCTTGGCAACCCGCGATGGGCAATAACACTGGTTGCTTCATGCTACAGAAGCCCGGCAAGACGAGCTATTCGGCTGAAACCTCCCATAGTCCTTTTTGTTTTTGCGAAGTTGTCAGTTTTAATTCGCTCTCATTGACATAGGTTTAATTACATCATTCAGTCATTTACAATTTGTTGTTTGGGACTCTCCATTGTGATTTTAGAACGTATTGATTCGTATTACTCGTAATTTCTGCTCTCTTTGCTAATGAACGACAACAACGACAACAGCAATAACAATCTTTATTTGTACCTCCTTGCCTGTGTTAGTGAAAAAACAGTATTGAAAATAAATAGAGTACTAGCTGTCTGGAATAACCATAAGGGCTAGCGGTGCCAGGCAGCCAGTAGACAACAACATTAAATGAAAATAAATTAATGGTCAGCAAGATAGCACAAATACACGCGTAAAAAGAAAGGAAAGAAGAAGAAAAATGCTATCACTATGCTATTAGGGTAGTCTGAAATAATTAGATTAAAATAAGAGTATAGAGCATTAATATAAGAAAAGCACATAATCATAACCACGTCTTCGATCACGTAAATCACATCTTCGATTGCTGTGTTGCCAGCATGGTTGTCCCGATAGTGTAGTCGTAGTTCAAATCCCGCTCAGGGCAAACTTTCTTTCAAACATTTATTCAATTATATATATAATAATCATTAACGAGATCGCATTTGACTGATTCCTTAAATTTTGAAAGAGCAAAGGATTTAGAGTTTTCATATATAGAGTTCCATACTTTAGGACCCCTAAATCTTATGTTGAATATACCATAATTTGTTCTTACTTTAGGTAAAGTGTATTCAAAGCACTTCTGGTATTGTAGTTGTCTTTTATTGACTTGTGTAGCTTGAGAAGGTATCAAAAACAGATGGTAGACTTCTGTTGTACATAAAGACTGCAATATTGAGAACTGAGACAAGATCAGACAGCTTAACAATATTTAAACGATTAAAAATTGGATTAGAATGGTCACGAAATTTAGAAATGTCATGATTCCAGTTGCTCTCTTTTGTGAAATGACCAAAGGCTGAACAGTGGAAGAATAGGTGTTACCCCAAGAAATTAAACCATAAGTTAGGAAGGGATAAACCAGGGCATAATGTAGGTTAGGCAGAATGTCTAAATTCACATAATAACGCAGTTTAGAAAGAATACCAATATTCACTTAATCTTTTTGGCAATGTAGCTTACATGGCTTTTCCATAATAAGTTAGAATCTACTCTAAGACCTAAATACCTCATTGAGTACCCTTGGTTTAAGTTAAAGCCATTTATGGAGAGTGTGACATTAAAGGGCAATTCTCTTTGTGGAGGGTGGAAAATGACAAATTAGATTTATCAATATTGAGTGACAGTTTGTTAGCACTCAACCAGGTATTAATATTAACTAAATAATTCGTCATTCAAAATGGATTCAAGCACTTTTTAAGCTCCGATCCAATATGCCCTAGAGAAAGAAACTGGTATCTGTTGGTAAGATATCAAGTGAACCAATCTTTTTTCACTACACGCCTTAGTGATCAAGTTTTTCAGTTAAGATGTTATGATTAACAGTACCAAAGGCTTTACTGAAATCCAAAACTATATCAGAAGAAAATTCATGGCAGTCAATTGCATGTTGTAACAAGTCTTTGATGCCTATATTAGCATGATCCCTGGAGTGCCTTGCACGGAAACTTACCTGCTTGCAATAAAGTACTTTTTTTCTTTTCTAAAAGAATCTAATATTCTCTTGTACATCAATCTTTCCAATAGTTTATTGAATATAGATAGAATAGAAATGGGACTTAAATTGTTTAAACTTGTTTGAAGGCCTTTTTTAAAATCAGGGGTAACTTTGGCTATTTTAAATTTATCCGGGACAATTCCTGTAGAAAAGGAGGCAATAAATATAATTTCTGAGGGTTTAGATATAACATGTTTATTAGCTTTTAGAATATTAACTTGAATGCTAAAGGGCCCAGTAGACTTGTTAGCTTTTAGGCCAGTTATTGCATTTGCGATTTCCACAGTTGTAGAGGGAAATAAAAAGAAATTATCCTGAGATGGAGCCGTGAGATACTGAAGGGAAGATTTATTTACACTTTGAATACTCTTTGTCAGATTATTTCCAATATTACCAAAAAAAATTGTGAAAAGCATCAGCCATAGACTTTGGGTCATTCATTTCAACATCCTCAATAAGTAATTTAGTGGGACTGCTGCCAGACCTGGATTTAAGGTTTACAAGTTGCCCTTATCCCCTTCCAAACTTTTTTTAGAAACAGACATATTTGTATGGAAGTAATTATTATTATAATAGTTGTTTTTGCTTACTTTTAGCGAGTGGTTTAGTTTATTCCTACAGAGTTTGAATTTTGTGTGATAATATGCAGGTTTGGTTGTAATGTACTTCTTAAAAAGTTCTTAGAAAGTTCACAGAAGTTTCTAAAGTTAAATGAGACCCTTAATGCAGTAGATATCCATGGTTTACATTTCATTTTTAATTCGCGTTAGAAAGTTGTTTAATAGGAGTTTGAAAATCAATTATTTCAGAGATTGTGGAGTAAAAGGAATTAAACATTACATTACATTACATTTTTTTATTGCAGAATACGTCGCAGAAGGTTTTGAAGGTTGCTGATAGCTGTCTCGACAAGAAAAACCATGAATTTTGGAAAAACTCTTCAATAGTAATTAACTATAATCATTATTTTACACTTTTTATGTAACTTGTACCTCAGTTTGATCTTTGTGTCTTGCATTCACATGAAAGAGTCTCACATTTTCCCATGTTTGTATTTTACTATTTTACAGGCTCATCAGTATGCACGTCTTTATTTCCACATCTTTGTCATCGAATACCTGATTAAAAGAAAGAATTGAATAGTCAGCCAAATCCGATCCTGTTTTCTTTTAAAGTTCTATACCTTGTTTCTTCTATGTAGATCGCATCGATGCCCGACTTCATGGCGAACTTACAAGAGGTCTTCGTTAATATGACTGAAGGAAAACTTTCATACAGAATTGATTATACCCTTGAAACGAAAAAAGTTCGTAAGTATTTTTTTCATTGCCACTTTTAATTCAAAATACATTAAGATGCCTTTAATACGGATGAATCCAGTATTGTCCAAGAAGAAGTGGTCAGGGAGTTATCAAAATGCATTTCCTGAAACACCGACAAAGGAATCAGTTATATATAAACTTAGCACGATCTCAAATTCAAATTAAAAACAAGAAATTCAAATTCAAATTAAAAAAACCCATCTTTTTCCAAGAGTTGGGTTTTTTATAAATCAGTCAAATGGTGAAGAATGTTTCTTTGTCTTTAAAACGTCTTACCACAGAAACAAGCACGGTGAGAATTTTTAACTTCTCCTTTCTCATCTACTATTCTGTGGAGAGTTTTATCACCTTAAACATTCTTGTGATGCCATCGGTCAATAATGAAGCTAAATATTCATTTGGGCTCGATCCAATGTTTCTAATGCTTCTGACAGAGTTTAATGTCATCTATTCCACCTTTTCTGTGAATGATTTTAGGTTTTGTGTCCGTCTGAGTTACGAAAACAGGGAGCCTAAGAAAGTTTATTGTGATATTTGCGTATGGCATGACAAAATAAATTTCGATTAAGAAAATTTATAAGACGGTCAAGTGTTCTTTATCTGTGATCATTGTACTAACTTCGTATATTCCATGCAGTCGCTGTGGTTAAAAGAAAAAGTATTACAGCAGATGGGAAGGATATCAGAATCCCCGACTATGGCGCTGTAAAAGATGTCTCTAGGAGTATTGATACTAACTTTCTGCAGATTCCTAGCGCAGCAATACAAAGTGCCAGAGGTAAGGTTAAAGCTCTACTCTGTGAGATTCACGTTATTAAAGAATCATTTCACAGACTTTATTCTTTGCTACACCACACTACACTACACACCACATCGTACTACGTTGTATAACTCGCATTACAACAAGTTACTGAACGAAACACCACGTTTCACGTCTCTTCATTTAGCTACATTCTATTCATCCTATTCTACATTTTTGACGCTATACCATTTACTTAAGTGACTAGATTTGCAATTCATAAGGAAACTTTCGTCCGCGCAGGTTATCAAAATTTTACTCAAGTCACTCCTGTTTGAGATATCGCCGAATAGTGCTGAGTGAAACTTTCAATTTTTGTATTAAAGCGATCCTCTTGGTAATATAAATAAACCCTGCTTATGCAGCAGTGGAAATAAGGCCTCAAAAAAATTCAGGCCCGTACGGGATTTGAACCCATGACCTCTGAGATAACGGTGCAGTGCTCGACCAACTGAGCTGACAAGCCAACTGAGAGTTGGTTATTTTGTTGGTTCGTATTAAACCCGTGGAAGTGATAATTATCATTATTTTAGTTGCACTGCACCGGTATCGCAGAGGTCATGGGTTCAAATGCCGTAGGGGCCTCAATTTTTTCAGGCCTTATTTCTACTACTACACAAGTAGGGTTCATTATTGCGAGGATCACTTTCATACATTTCACGAAACCGCAGTAGACATAATATGATTTTCAAATATTCAAAATTCATTGACTCTCGATTTTTCTTTCCCTAATTTTGTCAATTTTCGTTTGTATCACCTTTGCACTTGCTCGCTGAGATTGAATAAATAAGGGTTATAACTATGAAGTATCAAAATGGAATATTTTTCCCGCATAGGAAATTACACATATTACACATATGTATTCCTGATGTATAAAGACGTGGGAAGTGGAATGCCTAAGTCCCTCCCAAGGTATTTTTTTTTTTTTGTATTAAATGATTTTTTGAGCCTTTTTTTTTTAAAATAAAATTTAAACAGTACACTATAATACAATACATTACTTACAATACTGCTTACTTCCAACTAATAACAATACACTATATCGCTTACGGCGTTAAATACTAAAATAACAATACTGATTAAAAACGTTTCAAAACAACGAATAACTAAAAACCAGGGGCGTAGCCAGGATTTTTCAAAGGGGGGAGGGATCACAGAGGCTACTCACCATTTACACCGCTGCTCTCCCGCGTGTATCAGCGGGCTCAGTCGTATTATCTCGGCATGAAGGCCCATATTAACTAAATACAAGAGCCGTTGACGAAAATACTTTACAAAAAAAAACAAATTTTAAAATAGTGGGCTTTGCAACAATAGCTCTTGCGGTCAAGATATTGTCATGGCGTTTTCGCCACCTGAATACCGTAGGTTGTTTGCTCTAAAGAAGGCCTACCAAGGGGGGGTCACGGGCACCCCAGGACCCCCCTCGCTACGCCTTTGAAAACTAAACAAAAATGTTTGCACATATATGATCTTTCAATCATTTTATAATCGTGATCAAAAAGAGAATAAAGAATTTATTTATCGAACTTATTTTCTCACTTTATCACTGATGTAGTGAAACCGAAGAACAATTGAATGTTTCCTCATCTGTGATGTCTTGTTACCTTGCACTTGATGATGAGCCTGTTCACGATCTTCCTTCTCCGGCTATTCTGTCTTTCAAAACTCCGGTAAGTTATCGTATCTCTAATAATAATATTAATATTAATAATAATAATAATAATAATAATAATAATAATAGTAATAATAATGCTGGACTCATCGAGCTACACGAGCAGCTATTGCCAACGCGAGTATACACCAGTCAGAAGACCCACACAAGCGGGGAAGGCGAGGTGAGG